TTTTTCTTTTTTTTTGGGGGGTGGGGGGGAGTAGTTGAAAAGTTTAATGAAGACAGTTATTGTAAGAGGGGGACTGATCATTTGACCCCCAACTGTGGGGGCAGACTACCAAAAATAAAGGATCAAGATAAACAGGAACAGCAAAAAGACCTCAACACTTCAGCAGACTTTACTATGTCCAGAAGCTTTACAAACATGAAATACTGCTTAATGTAAGAAAGGAGATTAATTTAACCAAATCAAACAAGGGGAATACCATGTACAAAAATTACAAGGCCTGTTCAACTAAGCAAAGAATAAAATGCCACAGATATTTATTAATAAAAAAATCCTGTTTAATGCATTCTTTTCCTACTTGCATAAAAATAGTGCAGTCTGCAAATACCTTTTCTGTTTCTTAAACAAACAAAAAAACAACATGCCATAAGCAGAAAATGTCGCATATTAATGTATCTGCTGCTCGCTATGGTCTGTAGTCATACAATAAAAGATACCGTGGGAGTCAGTGCTTAAGAAAATCCAAACAACAGAGAAACAACATCAATCTAGCAGAGAGCTCTGCTTCATCCGTTGAGATTACCTTCAGCCCTCTCTGTGCTATTTCACACTACACAACGAGCTATCTATTTTTTGCTTTATTGTAGCATTGGCCTTAACTCCTCCAGGTCAGGTTAAATGGAGAAACAGAAGAAGAATAGCAGAGGGAATCAAGCAAATGTCTACCTTATGCCTGGTAAATAAACGGGTATACCGAACAAACCTGAAGGGGGTCAAGAAGTGGTTACATCTGCTTCTCCCTTTACTTTAGCAGAGATGCATCTACCATTCGGAGAGGCCCACCAGGCCTACCTACATACAGCCCTGTACAGTCAGTCATATGCACCTCTAACACTTCTTGGTAACAGATACCCACCACGCCCAGGGTAAGCTATAACCAAATTTGTCTGTTTCTATGGTTTTCAGGAGCACTCAGACCAGACCAGTTTCCTTTACAAACCCTACTTGACACTGCTAGAATCCCCAAGACCTACTTTATGGTACTACACAGCAAGAAGTACACAAGACCAGGCATAAAATGATGACTCAGAGGAGCCTTATAGACCCACTAAAACTAGTTAGTCTATTAGTTGCAAGTCTTCCTCATCTTCTGCCTGACTCCAGACACACAGCTAACTCCCTCTTGCTGCTCAGAGAAGCCCTGCTCCTTCTTACACAGGATCCTAGAATCTGCAATTTCTGCACACACACCACTATTTCTTCTTGCATGAGGTGCAAAGTTCACACTGATTGATTACTCACTTGAAATCTGACCACAAAAGTTGCATTAGAGACAACCCTTTTCTCTTAGTACATTCCCAGTAATCCTGAAAACATCACTAGAAGGGATGTGATAAAATGCACTGAAGTTCTTAGATCCACTCGAGAGTTTTTTTCCAAGTCAGCATGAAGGGAAAGAAAAATGTTTACCAACCCTATGGCTTTACTGCTTAAAAAATTGTTTAAGTAAACTAATGTTGGCAATCCACTCCATCAGGTAGTTTTTTCTCCTATGACATTCCTAATTTAATGATGGAGAAAAATTAAGTGAGAGATTACTTTCTTGCCTACAGTCACAAAGAAGAAAGAAGGAAATAAGCATTTCCTTGCTTCAATTCCTGTGCTCAGACCACTAGATTACACAACCCTCTAAAAGTCAGAAACTTTAGGGATAATAAATATCTGTTCTTTCAGTTTAACCTCTTCAGCAAAGAGAGCTGCAGCCAAGGGAACCACTGAGCTCAGCTCTGATCAACTTCAAGGATGCAGCAAGGAACAGAAATATGCAACAAAAAGGAGAGGCCAGGAAAATGTTTCATATAAGGGGAGCTTGAAATGGCAGAGACTGTTTATCTGAGAGAGGAGACGTAACAGGGAACATGGCAGAAGTATACAAGATAACAAATGGCATGGAAGTGATCTTGTAGGTCAGTGGCCATCTTGTGGAAAAACATAAGAACAGGGGGATGGTCAATGAGACTGGGAGGAAACTTGTACCCCTAGTAAAAGACACTCCACCCCCTCCCCCAACACTTTACAGCACTGAACTTCACTCAGAAGAATTCAAGAATTAAGAAAAATGTTTCCATTATCCATTAGAGATTCATCTGTAGTACTATTAGTGTGGATTTGAGACAGGATGCTGGATCAAACAGACTTTGCTCGTTTCATCCATGCAGCATCTTAAGATCATAGGAAAAGAGGGCTGGGAGGGACTTCAAAAGGTCATCTAGTCCAGCTCCCTGCTCAAGGCAGGATCATCCCTGACTAAACCATCCCAGCCAAGTGCCTGTCTAACCTGGTTTTGAAAGTTTCCAAGCACAGAGAATCCACAACTTCTCCAAGTAGCCTGTTCCAATGCCTGACCATGCTCATAATCAGAAAGTTCCTCCTAATCTCCAACCTAAAAATTTCCCTTGCTGTAGTGTGAGGCCATTGCTCCCAGTCCTGTCCCCTACAGTCACCAAGAAAAGCCTATCTTCATCCTCTCTATAACCACCCTTCTACATGTTCCTATGGAATACACTCCTCCACCCCAATGTCCCATGAAATGAATAGTTACTCCATGGACAGAGTCAGAAAAGGGTTAAGAATGTCCTTCCAAAATGGATCTAAGTCTGCTGCTCTTGCATTCTGTTACCACACGCAAGCAGGGACCGAGCCAAACCCCTGCTTCAGATAAGCACAGTACAGGCAGGGAATTCCTGACAGCTTGCTCTTTCCAGGGTAGATTGAGTCTTCCAGCTCCACACTGAATCATCACCTCCCTATCACCCCCAGCCACCACCCCCATCCCATCAAGGCCTGGCATGCCAAACATCCAATCGTGACATTCTCAAGTGTCAGAGAAAACCAACAGCTGCCCACAAGTTCCCTCTTAACTTTACTCCTCTCCCACTGAACATCTTAAAAAAATTTGAAAAAGATAAAAGCTCAATTGGAAGGTTCTACTGCAGAAACTATAGAAGGGGAAAAAAATGTCAAGGTCTGTGTGTATTCAACAAATAAAAAGTGGAATTATATAAAAGCAACAGCTAATAAAAAAGATTGTTCTGTGCTGTGTTTTCCATCTTTCCAACCATTATAGGAATAAAATTATCCACGGAGAAGATCGAAAACCTTTTTCAAAACTAATACAATTAAGCTTTATTACACTGTTTCAAGTACATTTCTCTCCTCTCCCATCCCAACCCCCTCCATCTCCCGTTCCAATCTAAACTAACGGTTGGAGGCATTCTTCTATTTTATTACCAGCAAAATGCTAGTGTTTAAGGGTCAGAAACTATCTAGTGTTTTCAGCAAGGAAACAAAACCAGTCCTTATTATCTGCTCGCTATTGTAAGAGGAAAAGCTAGAAAAGGAAAATATCTACAGATTGAATGGAGTGGAGGATTTGCCATCCCATTGAAGAATCAAGCACCTGCAGCCACCTTGCTCTTAAAGGGTTTGCCCTACATAGGGCATACAGCTCAGAAAAAGGAACCACGGAATATAAAAGGAGCTTAAGGGAAGGATAGGACCAGATGGACACAACTTTGCTCCAGCCCACCCATACATAAAGGACAGACATACATACAAATACTCCCAGCAGTTGCCGCTTCAGGAAACCAAAGCTAGAAAGAACACTATAATAGAGGCACAGCATGAGACCGAGAAATTGCAAAAATTCCCTTTGCATATGAACATATGGACAACTGTGATAATTAAAACGATGGCTGGTGAATTGTCAGAAATTTCGCTGCACAATCTCCATTATCCAGAAACAGAATTTAAACCTGAATGAAACACCAAGTGGTAGTTTTAATAGTCATCTTTTTTAATTAATTATATGGATAAGAGCATTACAAAAAGGTACAAAAGTGAAAGTGCTGACAGGCACATTTCACCATTAAGAGCATTAAGAAAGTACTTCACATAGTGATCGCGCACTAGCAGAGGGTGGGAAAAGGAACCTGGGAGGTATCAAGAGGTTCTTGCTGCTTATGACACCTATAATTTTCCAGTGTTCAGTCTTTACCCTCATGCCACCCATTGTTTTTAAAGGCGACTGATGCACAAATTCCACCAGCTCCTTAAGATCCACCTTTTCCATCACTTTGCAGTCTGTCTTCAGTAGGCCATACCTCCAGAAATCAAATGGGTTAAGCTCTCCGTCATGAGGTCTAATTGCTTCCAATTGGGGAAGATTAATCTTTACATTTATTACAAAAATAAAAGGCCACTGCTAACATGGTTTTATTTTGCCAGGAAGTGAAAGATGCATCCATTCATAAGGAACAGCGGGGCAGCTCTTCTTTTTTATTACATCAATTTTTAAAAACTCATCACAGTAAACAATTAAACAGAGAAGCAAACCCCACGTTTAGGGGAGAGATTCAAATCCCTAAACGAATTTTCAAAGGTCATTTCAGGCTTAAAAGATGCTTGACAGTGTCTCTTTAAAATCATGCTCATTTCAAAGGCTTATCCAGCAAGCAGCAGGCAACGCACTGCAACAATACAGGTTGAGCTGTTGGCCTCCCCAGAGAAAAATTAGTAATACAACTTTAATTCATATTTATAGCAAGATTTGAGATTATCTGTAATTTTGGGAGCCACAGATTTCTAAAGAATTAAAGAATTAAATAAATAAATAAATAAAAGGTAACTTCCCTTTCAACTAGACCCTGTGGCGAAAGAAAAATAAATAAAATAAAGCCTGAATGATTATAAACTGTGTGTTAAAAAAAGATTCTTCCAATTAAAAAACAATTATCTTTTAAATGTGAGTTGTTTAAATGGTTCAGATTGTGGAGATTTTTGATTTAACTGCATAAGGGGGGTTTGGGGGATAAATAATGGGGACTGACAGTTCCAGGTTTCAGCACAATGCTTCTCGTTTCTCTTCTCTGCTGATCCACTCAGATCTACGTCTGATCCTATTAGCATTCAGCTGCCGCAAATGAAAGACATCACAGACTTACCTTCCTCTCGATGCGGGCCAACTGCTCCTTATAGAAGGTCTCTTGACGCTTCAGCTCCACCTCTTTGCTCTGCAGCTCCTGGGCCTAGGAGGAAGGGGAAATAGCACTGTCAGTAGAAAAGAAAGGTGAGGGGCAACGGTTTGGGGTGGAGGAGGGAGAAGCAGGAAGAACTTGGAGGCCCTGCTTCACGCACTGGTAAAAGGGGTCGGAAGGGGAGGGGGGTGGGATCTGTACTGAAACCAGTCAGAACTGCCACTTTATACATATTTATTTCCAATGCTACCCTCAAAGCTCAAAGCCTCAAGCAACCATCACATTTCTTTCTCTACCCACTTACATACTTTCTTCAGGTCCAAGTTTCAAGTGTGTACTCTTTTCTGAACCCCAAGGCTGAAGCTCAAAGCTCTGATAAAATTCAATCTGTGAGGGGAAACCTTAGATATGCAGCTGTAGTATATTGGTCTCTCATACTGCCCATGTATTTGCTTGTCTATATACTCAGTGTTTTGAGTGTCGTGGCAGCCCCCCAGTTTTATCCCAAAACTAGTGTCTACTATCCCTATACATTCCCTGAGCATACGTGTCCTCAGTCCTCTCAATTTACTTGTCTTGGGCCTTGCTTTCAATGGAAGCAGGTGTTATTTTTCACTACCAAAGTATGAGGTCTGTGTGTGCAACACTTCCAAACAGCAAGCCTGATAGCCCAGCACATGCTTAAATAATAACCTGGGCATCACCCACACAAGTTGGGATAGGAAAGATAACTGTTTGCGTTCTTACAAGAACACAGGTGCCCTATTTAGAAAACAGAGCTCTTTACAGATGGCCACAGTTCAACACTTTCACACACTTGTGTTGACATGGCATTGAGATAATATCATAGATAGCACTGAACTGGTATTTTATATTAGCACCTTGAAATAAAAAGCAGCAACAATAAGATTTCAGTGAAAGAAGGTGGGGGAAGAATGGCATTTGGGGCTCCAAAAACCTTCATGACTCCCTAACTTATTACCACGCAAAAGACCTTTCAAAGGCTGGATTATTGGACTGTTTCACATGAGTGCTAACAGTGCTAATCCATACACAGATCCTAGCAGCACTACTCCTAACTTTTAATGATACCCGCTGCAATCATAGAAGGATGCTGGTCCAAGATGATTAAGCAGCCAGGAGAGGAACATCGCTGTGGGCTCAGACCTGTCATTTTACAGCCAACAGCCATTGCTAATAAGAAAAATTACATCTGAAAGCAAATTCCTGTGCATTTCCTTCCCTCTGCTCCCCTGGTGATGGATATACAGTGGTATAATGGGGCTGCGGGGGTGGAGAGCTTCAAAGTTAGGGATGAAGGAGGGACACTGGATGAGGATGCTGGTAAAGAAGGAGGAGGGCTCTTCATTACATGCAGAGTCTTTAGAAGGACAGCAAGTTCTTTACAGCAATAACTAGCTATGAACAAATTTGGTCCCTGTACTTGCCTTCTCTGCCCTCCAGGGCCAGATTAATGCATAAACACTGAGGGCCCATGCCTAAAACCCCAGCCCCTGGAGTCAAGGGATTAAAACCCAATCCCCAGACTTTACCATGAGCATTTAAAAAAGGATTTTAAGACCAGGCAGACAAAGCCTTGGCTAGGATGATATAGTTGGGGTGGTCTTGCTTTGAGCAGGGGGTTGGGCTAGATAACCTCCTGAGGTCCTGTCCAATCCTAATTTTCTGCAAGTCTATGATTCCAAGATGGATAGGTAACTGGCTTAATAGCCACAAGCAAAGGGTAATTATTAACGGGTCCATGTCAGAAAGGCAGCAGGTTTCAAATAGAGTCCCACAGGGGTCTGTCCTGGGCCAAGTGCTGTTCAATGTGTTTATTAACATTTTGCATGCTGGCATAGAAAGCTTCTTGAGCAAGTTTGCAGATGACATGAAACTGGGGAGGACTGGAAACACAATGGAGTATGCAAGTGCAATTCAGAAGGATCTCAACAGATTGAAAAGATGGGCTAGAGCTAACAGGGCGAAGGTCAATACAGACAAATGCAATGGGCTACACCTCAGAAGGAATAATGAAAAAACAATATGAAATGGGTGACAGCTGGGTGGATAGCAGCACTATGGAAAAGGACTTGGGAATCTTGGTAGACTACAGACTCAATATGAGACTGCAGCATGATGCAGCCCTGCAAAAAGCAAATGCAGTTGGGATGCATCAATAGAAGCATTAGGTACAAGACACAGGAAGTGATAGTGTCTCTACTCAGCACTGGTTAGGCCTCATGTGGAGTAGTGCGTGCAGTTCTGGGCTCCACGTTTTAAAATGGACATGGAGAAGTTAGAGAAGGTCCAGAAGTGGGCAAAGATGATAAAGGGCTTGGAAAGCAAGTCATATGAGGAGAGGCTGAAGGAGCTAGGCATGTTCAGTTTGCAGAAAAGGCACTTAAGAGGGGACATGATGGCAGTCTTCAAATGCTTGAAGGGCTGCCATAAAGAGGAGAGAAAGCACCTTCTCTCTCTTGCTGCAGAGAAGAGAAGTTCAATGGTTTGAAGTTGCAGCAAAATTAAGTTTGGATTGGATATCCAGAAAAAAACTTCTTCACTGTTAGAATAGTGAGGCAGTGGAACAGACTGCCTAGAGAAGTTGTGAACTCTCCATCACTGGAGGTGTTCAAAAAGGTTGGACAGCCACTGGTCAGGGTTGATCTAGGCTGGGGGTGGGTAAAATACAGCCCACAGGCTGGAGCTAGCCTGCCAATCGAATGCATCTGGCCCGTGGGTCGGTGGCCACAAAGTCATAGGATCTAGTCCGTAGGAAGCTGGCACTTACGGCTGCTGCATTGTGCCAGGCAGGTCCTGGCCCCATCCACAGCTTACACCAGCTCATGCCCCATGTGCCAGAAGCAGCATAAGGTACACACTGGCATCAGCTGTGGACACTGCCTGCGACATGCTGATGAGAACCCAGGAGGACCCCAGCAGGACCCAGCCACCCATGTCCACAGCTGATCCCAGCACCCACCTAGCACTGCTTCTGGCGCACAGGCCAGGAGCTGGTGTAAACTGCAGGGCCAGGCTGGAGGTGCGAAACAGTTGGGGGGAGGTGGGACAGGGGAAAAGAAGGGAAGGAAAGGGAAGGGGAAGACAGTAAGGCAGCCTTGTCCATGAGGAGCAGCAGTGGCTGGTGCTGGGCACCAGGCAAAACCTGGACCTGGCAGCAGGTAAGCTTGCCACTTCCAGGGCCCTTCTGGCTGTGGCTGCCTGAAGCTCGCACTGGGGC